ACGGCACCCTGGCAGCTCTTGTGGATGACGGAAGCCACCCGCTATTTTCCCCAACTGATGGGACTCCCTGAGAGGCACGTGATCAGAGATTATGTTAATAACTGCATTGTTTCCAAGAGACAGATAACTGTTTTGCATCTTAGAACATGCCTGCATATAATGGGTTTTGGGTAGCCACCCTCCCCATGTCCTCCATTTGAATCAGATACACCACTGATATTAAAAGGTCTCACAGATCCTACCAGCTCCCTGGGTACAGGTCTGTCCCTTTACCCACAATTCCAAAGTCCAAAAAACTCTGAAATCCATCTTGAGCTCATTTGAAGGCAAACTCTGACCTAAAGTAATGTATAGGCTATATTCATCCCATTTAGTATGAGTTCAGGCATGTTTCTGCAGGAATATTTTATTTTATTTTTTAAAATATATTTTATTGATTTTTCACAGAGAGAGAGGGAGAGAGAGAATTAGAAACACTGATGAGAGAAAAACATTGATCAGCTGCCTCCTGCACACTCCCGACTGGGGATGTGCCTGCAACCAAGGTACATGCCCTTGACTGGAATCGAACCTGGGACCTTTTGATCCTCAGGCTGACGCTCTATCCACCAAGCCAAACCGGTTAGGGCGGGAATATTTTATTTGACTAAAGTTGTTATGTTTTTTCTTTTCCCCTGCAGTGTTCACCACCAAATATTTAGTTAATAATCTTGGTATTAACCTTTTAAGTTAAAAACCACAACACAAAAAACAAACCTGAAATCAAAACCCATCTGACCTGAAGGGTAACAGATTATCGATGAAGGGGTCCAAAGTCAGCATCAGTGTAAAACATTTTCAGATTGTTTTCTTGTTCTGAAATATGCATCTACCTTTGGTGCTGGGACTAAAGCCACCTTTGATTGCAGAAGTTCTGTGTTGATATTGCACATTGGCCAATTCAGATGATTTCTAATGGTTTTCCAAGGACCTAGAGACAAAGGCCACCAAGACTGTCCCCATGCTGTCACATGTAAAGGCTGCAGCTAACATCACATGGGGGCCGTCTTGAGAATCCTGTGACATTTTTGGCACGCGCTCCTTTCAGAAGCAATTAGACTCACAAGAACACAAAAATCAAATGGGAAGGCTTTCTTCCTATACATCTATCAAATTAGAACTTTCTGGGATAAAATGTTATCAGTTTCATATATTTTCATGTTAGAAAATGGAGCATAAATGTTATCAAAGCATTTTATTCAACAGTATGTTCTGTATAAATTGTCTTTTTAAACAATTTATGGAAAAAAAATTTATGATGATGAATGCATGCATGACTTTTTTTTGTAAAAAATTAAATTACTTACAAGAAATTTCCCCTTATATCTTATGTGGACTCCAGTGGAGCATTTTATAAGTAATTCTTTTGCCCACTTAGAATACCTACCAGGGAGATACCACTAGAAAAGTACTTCATTTTACTAGGAAATAATATGAAACAAACCTATTCCTTCTGTGACCTTAAATGCACCTGGTTGTTCAGCTGTGGACTAGTGCTAGCACCTGCCAGACCTTCAGGGACTGTGATCTGAATGGGAGGTAATTTTATAAAGTGCCCAACCACAAAAGGGAGCAAACACCTCAGGAAGAAGGCAAGGCTCATCTCCACTTAATCTAAAGACTTCTTAGTCAAAATGTAGGGGACACAGAACTGACGTCTCCATTCCACGAAGCAGAAGCAAAAGAGGATGTTCCTGAGGGGAGGCTGGCTGGTGGTGAGGTCTCATCTGAGAGGTGCTTGTGACTGAGAATGCAAGCAATGGATTGGTTATGGAACGTGGCAGTCAAATCATAATAAGGGCTAGATGAGCATCTGTGTTAAGTCAGTGGAATGTGTATCAAGATGCTGGGGTTTCAGACGAAACCGGTTTGGCTCAGTGGTAGAGCGTCGGTCTGCGGACTGAAAGGTCCCAGGTTCGATTCCGGTCAAGGGCATGTACATTGGTTACAGGCACATTCCCTGTAGGGGGTGTGCAAGAGGCAGCTGGTCGATGTTTCTCTCTCATCGACGTTTCTAGCTCTCTATTTCTCTCTCCTCCTCTCTGTAAAAAAATCAATAAAATATATATTTTTTAAAAAAGATGCTGGGGTTTCAGCACTGAGTACCTTTTGGAAGCTACTGCCAGGATGTAGTTGGGTTGAGCAAAGGGAGAGATCAAAAAGAAGCCATTACCACAGGCAAAATTGGAAATGAGTTGATACTTACATCTCAGTGCCCTTGACCTATCCTCCTGCTATTGACCTCTTGTGCACTTTGGGACAGGGGTCAAGGCTCCCGAGGTTTAGAACCTCTCCCAAAAGAAGGCCTGAACAGTGTGCTTCTCCAGTAGATTCTAGCAGAATCCAGGGAGGCATGCTTGGAGGGCTGTGTTGGCACCTAGTGAATGTTCCCTTTTTTCTTTCTTTCTTTTTAAAAAAATGTATTTTATTGTTTTTTTACAGAGAGGAAGGGAGAGGGATAGAGAATTAGAAACACTGATCAGCTGCCTCCTGCACACCCCCTCCTGGGGATATACCCGCAACCTAGGTACATGCCCTTGACCGGAATCGAACCTGGGACCCTTCAGTCCACAGGTCGGCTCTCTACCCACTGAGCCAAAACCGGTTAGGGCTCCCTTTCTACTAAAGACACCAGTGGGAAGCTTCTAAGTTTTATTAAGTTCAGTGAGCCTTGTGCTTATAAGAAAGGGAAAAGGCAAAAACATTTTCTCCCTCTTTCTCCTCTATTCCTCCCTTGGGAAACGAAGCTATCTGAGGAAAGAGAAAGCTGGTCTTCTGTTGAGATAACTTTGCAAAAGGGGTGAACACTTAGAGGAGTGGCTCTCAGGCCTGAGGAAACATTATATCCACTGGGGAAACTTTCGTTGTGCGAATAGGCAGGATCTTGGGGAGCGGGCATTCTATCTTCCAGGTGCTTCGTGGCCTGAGATGTGATGATGAAAATCACGTTGCACACCACTGGATGCCCTGAGATTATACAAAAACCTACTCGGCCCCTTGTTTTGCCTGTCAGCCATGGGGAGGTGGAATCCCACTGCAAAGGAGCACTATGTGGCTGAAGCACATGCTGGAGGTGAGCGATGTACCCCGAGCTGCTGGAGACCCATGAGGAAGGGACCACACGCTTGACGGAGAGGAGAAGCTGAATGTGAACGTGTCAAAAGGAAGCAGAATTGGAAGAGGGAAAACCAGGTGGAGATACATCTAGTCATTCTAGAGACTTCTTTTTGCTTTAGGAATTCTTTACACCTTCTCTCCACGTGATATATGGGGCCACACGTGTGACTGTGAAAGAAAATGGGCACAGATGGGTGCACCGCCATCAATCAAGTGATGAGCTGTACGGAGATTCCATGGTGATAATCTGTCTTGTGAATATGGCACTTGTGAAACAGGTTTGAAGAATATCTTAGAAAGGACATTTTAAAAAATCACACAGGAAAAGGAGATACAAGTTAGGGAAAAGTAGAATATTTTATCCCTTCCCTTAGGTACCCAAGGTCTAGCCAACGCATGCGTGGTGATATTTTAATGGCGTCTGCTAAGCCTAATTGAAAACAAACCCTATTGGGCCCCAAAAAGAGATGTTCAGGCATCCTTTTCAGTTCTCCATGCTGAATTGCTCAAAGGATGGGGGCAGAACTTGTACAAGTCTTTTAAACCATGTTATCGTATGGAATCACCTCTCAATCCCCGGCCCCCCCAACTGGTACTCATTTTTACATGGACAAGAGTTGAAAATCTGAGACACAAGTAAAAAGCTTGAGATGTTATTGGACCAAGTGTATTAAAATAAAATCAAAAATAGAAATATTAGATATATACAGGACAGTATAAGTGAAACAGGTGACACGGTATTTTCCATTCAAAGCTTACAGTAGTAAGAAAAATTTAGTAAACAAAAACCTCCTGTATCCCTGGCCACAGGGACTCACCGGCGCCTCCTCAGTCGTTCATCTCCTTCATATTTTGTATAAATAGACTCACACACATCTCACACCACTTAGAAAAACTGCTGAATTATAACATAATTATAACACACATGGAGTTTTTACTTCGAGTACAACTAACATTAATATTTGATCATCAAAATAATGTTCAAATCATTTGAAGCGATAAAGGAAATTCTTAACGTTTCATAAGGCCCCGTACAGTTCTGCAGAGATTAGAATTGCATTGTTCTTCCAAACTACATTGTCAATGAAAGTTTGTATAGAGGAAGTTGTGGAATTGGAAAGCTGGACCATTGGAAAACAGTCCTTGGTCAGGTAGTCCCGGTAGGTCTGGGCAAGGCCAGGCAGTTGGCAGGGCCCACATCCCTGAACGCAGCAGCTCTGCGTGACTCACAGAGGACAGACACTTCTACAGGAAAGACACTTCTAAAGAAAAGCGAGGCTGCTTCCTCTTCGGGAGTCTGGGCAGTCTCCCCGGACGGAAATGTCCAACAGTCTCAGATGTAGGGGGAGGGGTGATCCCCGAAATCTGGGAAAGGTGTTGAAGCTTCTGACATCATGGGGAAAACCTAACAGGTTGGATTAGTAATGTTTAAACAAAGAAGCCGAAGCACAGGGAACATACAGGCAAGTGCCATGGTAGACATCGGGTTATTTTACTTTTATAGGTGAGTTCAGTTCTGCTGCTTGGGGGGGGGGGGTCGACTGAAACGGCCTTGGCACCTTTGAACCGCACGTCCAATTGTAAACAAGAGGCCACAGTGGGCGCCCCTGGGGCAGAGCCAGTGTCTTCTGCTCAGGGGGCTGTATTCGGACTCGTGTCCAACAGAGCAGGATGGCCACCTGGGAGCAAGCCCAGGGGCAGAGCCGGGGGCCTCAGCCTGTGAGAAGAGGATACTTTTCTGCGTAGAGAGAGTGTCTTCCTGAGTAACGCAGCCTCACTCCAGGAAGCAGGGCTGGCTGATGACCTCAGCACATGAGAACCTGGGGCTGTGGGCTTCCTGTGTCCTAAGGCTGCTGCTGATACTGGCCTTCCGTGGCTGTGTAGAAGTCGTCCAGCACGCTCTGCAAGTAATCAAACGTGGGCCTCTCTTCAGCCTTTTCCTTCCAGCACATCTTCATGATCTCATAGAGCTCGTCCGGGCAGTTCTCCATGCGGGGCATCCTGTAGCCCTGCGACAGCGCGGTCATCACGTCCGCGTTCGTTCTCCCTGAAACAGGGGTCGGCAAACTCATTAGTCAACAGAACCAAATATCAAACAGTACAACGATTGACATTTCTTTGGAGAGACAAATTTGGAGTCTATCTTTTTATGTACAAGTAAACCAATAAACAAAGCAACTGAATGATGAGTTTTATGAAAGAAAGAAAAAAGAGTGGGAAGGAGACCTCAAACCAGACCCTAAGAGTCAAGCTGATCCTTGGTAATTAGTCTGTTGTTAGCAAACACCCTTTGGCCGGTGATCTTAAAAGGCAAGCACTTGCATATTCCACCTTTCATTCTCTAAACAAGCACTTATTGAATACTTACTATGGGTCTTGAGCTAGCACTAAGCGCTGAGACACAAAAAGAAGATGATGACAGAGACTTGTCCTCAAAAGGCCCACAGCCCAGTGGGGAAGATGCCCCCAGGGTAGGGAAGTGGGTGGGAGCAGGAAGGGACATCTGGAGTAGGTTTGGAATTAGAAAGGCTGAAGGTTGATGAAGAAGCACAGGAAGGAGAAAAATGCGGCAGAGCAGAGATTGGAAAGGAACAGGGGGTTAGTGACAGGAGATGGTAGCGCAGCAGCCCCAGCAGCCCTGACATCTTTAAAGACTAAGGGGCTTCTCTGTGTGCGAGAGGGAAGAAGCACCAGCTACCACGGGACCACAGTCTCCCACCCAACAATGCTTCCAAAGGGGCAAATGAGTTTTTTCCTGAGCATGGCTGCGACCCGGGTGAGTGTTATCTGCACAGGATGTGTTTCCTGGCTCTGATTCACAGAGGGCACTGAGATGCTGCATGTATCTGGTAAGCAACAGTCAGAAAAGACAAGATGCTTCAGAAAACTTTGCCATTTTTCGAACCTCCTTTTTCTTAGTAAGAACAAAGCAAAACAAAACCCCAACCACAAAATCCCCTCTAGTTGCTTCTAAAAAAAAAAAAAAAAAAAAAAAAAAAAAAAAAAAATATATATATATATATATATATATATTTTTTTTTTTTTTTTTTTTTTTGATTTTTTACAGAGAGGAAAGAAGAGGGACAGTCAGAAACATCGATGAGAAAGAAACATTGACCAGCTGCCTCTGCACACCCCTCAATGGGGATGTGCCGGCAATCAAGGTACATGCCTCTGACCGGAATCGAACCAGGGACCTTGAGTCTGCAGGCTGACACTCTATCCACTGAGCCAAACCGCTTTTGGCTCCTCTAATTTCTTTAGAAAATTCATATATAAATATCATTACAGTGTTGCTTTTAAGATAGTGAAGTAGGTACCATTGGCCTCATTTCCTTTCCTCCTCTTTAATTTACCCCCCCCTCAAAAGAACAAGAAACAGAAACTTAAAGTCTATCTTTGATGAGCCAGGAGGCACCTGCCAGCCAGAGGCAGAAGTGGTCCTGGCCAAGAGGAGGAACGTGAAACTGCAGTGCCTCCCAGAAAGGGACAGCAAGACATGTCATCCCATCAACTGCACCTGGGAGGCTCCACACATGCCAGGGGAGGGGGTGGCCGCACACAGGACTGTCCCCAGGGACCGCCTGGCAGGTGCCCCATGACCTCTTGGTTCATAGGTTGACGTTCAACCAAGCTGCACCGACCAGGTTCTGCCTTAGGCCTTTGGTCACATGCATACTTGAACGGAGCAAGGTAAATGAAGGCTACCTGGATAAGGAATTTTCCCATAGGTGACGATCTCATACAGGAGGATGCCGAAGGACCACACATCAGACTTGATAGTGAAACATCCGAAGTTGATGGCTTCAGGGGCGGTCCACTTGATGGGGAATTTAGCACCTAAGAGAGAACACACGGGCGTCTTACTGGTGCCTCTGAGCTGACACAAAAAGGCCATGGCCACGTGACCCACACAATTTCCTCCTTTTGAGAAAATTACATATTTTTCTTTTTGAATAGGTAACACACACAGTAAGAAATAGAGATGATACAAAATGTTCTACTTAAAATGTCGGCCTCCCTCCTCTGTTTCCCATTGGGGCATTTCCCTGTGAAGAAGCAGAGTTTCCTGTGTCTCCGCCCAGAGATATCCTAACCAGCCCCCGTACCCATACCCGCACGCGAGGCAGAAGGTAAAGGTGTTTCTTCTTAGCTTGTCCATTTGCCTCCCAACGCCAGTCTCCAAAGCATATACAAGGTGGGACAAAAGTAGGTTTACAGTTACGAGTATGTGAAACAGACTTTATTCCCTATTATTTATAGTTATTGTACTATAAACCCACTTTTGCCCCACCCTGAATATATCTTTCGTGTTTACATTTTCTCTAATAATTAAACCAAACTATGTTTATATGGAATGCAAATACATCTTGATGTACATGTTCCTGTAGACAAAGCTCTTAAGCCTGGACCCAAAGGAACTTCAGATGTTCCTCCAGTCGTTAATGTCTCCTGATTTCCTTTGATGGAACCAAACGTTATTAGGCTTTTAGAAATCGGGTAGGATGACAATCTGCCCAGAATGAGGCAGTGGTGATCTAAGCTTCTCATCAGAGGCTGGTGAGGCTAAGGGACACCCCGCCACCAGGTCACCCGAGAGGCGAACCTGGCCCAAGGCCCTCCCTGTCACCTTGAGGAAGGTAGGGGCTCAGGCTGGGGGTTTCCACCAACAACTTAACAATTTTAAAAAGATGTTTGCCTTTTCATGTCTTTGCTTTATAATGTTTTTGTGGTGTCAGACCAAAATTGGGAATCAGGATAAGAACAAAACGGACAGAAGAGAGCCTCACAGAGCAGCTCCTGTGTGTGGTGCAGTCCCTGAAGCACATTCCAACCTTAAACTACCCCCCTTCCCCGAGGTAGCAGTCCAGGTGTGGGGTGGGGGGAGGGGGTGGCTGTGGCTGAGTTTGAATGAGATTCTGCTGATCCCAGTGTGCTGTGACCCCAGCAAATCACTACTGCCTTTGTGCCTTTCCTGGCGCCTCCATCTGTAAAATGAGGAAACAGCTGAACCCTATGTGCTTGGCTCAGGTGAATACCAATGAAAGGTAAACTGCATTACTGTTTGATTCTAGAATCCGAGCTCTCCACACCAAGCCACCTGTCTCACTCATGAGAACAGTTATTTCTGTGTGACTCCAGGCCTGTGGAGTAAAGTCAATAAACCCATGGAGTAAATTCCAGCTCATGTATTTTGAAGTGAGATCTCCTGGTTTGAAACCTGGCTCTACCGCTTACTATGGGACCTCAGAAGCTGCTGAACCTCTTGATTTCCTCATCTATTAGGCGGAAATCACCATCACCATGATCTCATCATCATCATCTTCATTACTTAGGATTATTGTAAAGGTCAATGAGATAATGTATGAAAAGTACTTAGAATAGTGCCTGCCACGCTGCAAAATACTGACTAGATTTTCGCTACTACTTTTTAAGCTGCGTTTTCTCAAACTGTTCTCCTTCACCTGCCTTTTGTTGAGGATAATTAAGGTCAAGGTGAGTAATAAACCACCTGAGAGAACAGAGGATTGAGGCAGGAGGAAAACCACCTTAAACATGATGGAGGCGAGAGATGCTACACAAATCAAAGCAATGTTTTCCACCTGTCTGTCACCTCTGTAAGTCCTGCGGACCCTTCCCAGAAATAACACACATGGAGCTAAAAGGAAAATAATCCTTGTTTAATAACTCTTAGGAATGTCAAGAAAGTGCTTGGCTCTTTCGGAAGAGAGAAAGCACTGCAAAGATATTCACTCAATGTTCGTGAGGGAGACCTTCCGAATCCTCAGATCATCAGTGACATGGATGAGTCTTGAACAGGAAAAGCCAGTGAGACCCCAGACGTGGCCCTCCATAAAGGAAAGGAGAGGAGAGGAGAGAAGGGGAGGGGAAAAGAAGAGAGGGGAGAAGTGGGGAGGGGAAAGAGGGGAGAGAAGGGAAGGAAAGAGAAATGTGCCAGGAAGTGGGAAATGTATGCCTTTCTGTGCATTTTTGATTCATGTTTATAGTATGAATTGTGGGAAAGTAAGGGAGTGTATTTTTGTAGCATTATATTTACTTCTATGTGTGTAATAACTTCCATGTTTTAATTTGCAATTAAAAGGCCAGAACATAGCCTATAAAATTACTGTTGTAAATATTTTCTCTATATAGTGAAGAACTTCATTATATGGGTGAAAAGCTTTAACATAGACAATAAACAAAGAATCTTGACTTGACCAAATCTCTTTTAGTTTTGCTTTCCTTTCTTGAAATACAAAGGATAGATAGCATTTGAAAATGTTATAAAAGTATGGTGTGGGGTAAATCAAGAGAGTAATTTTTTTAGAACAAGTATTAGAATCACAAATAGCAATTATGATACATTAGAGGCCTGGTGCACAAATTCGTGCACAGGTGTGGGGGAATCCAGCCAGCCCGCCCTGAATGGGGACAATTGAGGGTGGGGCTGGCTGAGGGTGGGGAGGTGCCACGGGTGGTTGGCTGGCTGGCCCCGCCCCCATTGGAGTCAGGGGTGGGGGGCCACAGTGCACATCAAAGCAACCAGTGGTTCTGGCATTCTGATCGCTTGGCTTTTATATATTTAAATTTAGACTATTCTATCAAATGAATTCATTTTATTAGAATGACTACTGTAACTGCTTTGTTAAAAACAGAGAAAAATAAAACGAAATAATAACAATACACCCAGAGATCATTAGCATACCTTCCCTTGCTGTGTACTCATTATCTTCAATTATTCGAGCAAGGCCAAAGTCGGCAATTTTGCACATGAGCGACTCAGAGACCAGGACGTTAGCTGCTCGCAGGTCTCTGTGAATGTAGTTCTTCCTCTCAATGTACGCCATTCCCTCTGCGATCTGGACACAAGAAGACATTCGTTTTCAATGTAAGGGTAGACTATCATAGAAGGCCATCAAGAAAAACCAAAAAATGGATGAGTTTTTGAAATCCTTTCATGTACATTATTCTGATCATTGAAGTTTTAAAACCGGTGGATACATTACAATCACCATTTTGAGTCCTTTCTAAAACAACTGGCCCCAAATCTCCCATGATGGTAAATCTCAACATGATCCTTTTAATAATAGTTACATGTCTCAATCTTTCCTAATATGTGGAGAATCTTTTTAAAACCCTACTAAATTCTTGCAGGTAGATAGACGTCATGGTCTCAATTTTTCAAATGAGAAGACAGGGCTGGAGAAAGTGACCTGCTGATACAAATAAGTTATTGGGGCATCAAGGACAGGATGACCCTGGCCGGTGTGGCTCAGTTGGTTGAACATCAATCATCCCATTCACCGAGAGGTCCTTTGTTGGCACATTCCCACCTGCCCTTTCACCTGGCCATCTCACTCTGCAGAGCTCAGCTGAGAGGGACACTTTTAATTTATATATATATATATATATATATATATATATATATATAGTTGATTTTTTTTACAGAGCAGAAGAGAGATGGATAGAGAGTTAGAAACATCATTGAGAGAGAATCATCAATCAGCTGCCTCTTGCACACCCCCTACTGGGAATGTACCTGCAACCAAGGTACATGCCCTTGACCGGAATCGAACCTGAGACCCTTCAGTCGGCAGGCTGATGCTCTATCCACTGAGCCAAACTGGTTTCGGTGACACATCCTTTAATAAGCTTGGCCCAACTCCTTGTTCAATATGTGTGGTCCCAGCGCTCCCTGATCCTCACCTGTTTACCTGTCTATGATCATGGCAGCAATGTAAACCCCTTAGCACATGTGTAGGGTACGTACTTTGCTATCCTTGGACACTTATGTAACATTCCAATGTTGTACACAAGCTGAGCCAGGAACCCGAATGAACCAAAGTTGGCTACAATCCCAATTTTGGCCTGAAATTGCAGTTGACGGTAGCAATTAGGAACCTGTGCTGGACACTCCTCTAAGGATGCTGACTGACACACGCAGATGTGTGCTAGTGGCCCTGAAAGAGCCTCTAAGACATGGTCCCAAAGACCCACATCTCGCTCGTTCCTGTTGATGGATTTGAACGATCAGCTTGTGAAGAAAAGTGTTCTGGCCCTGGCTGGGTGGCTCAGCTGGCTGGAACATCCTCCTGTCAGGATTTGAAGTTTTAGAGAGGATTTATGGGAGGATTGAAGTTTTAGAGAGGTTGAAACAAAATCTGGATCTCAACATGCTGCCATAGACCACCTCCTAGGGGCTGTTGTCCACAGAATGTTTGGATAAAAAGTCCCAGTGCAGCTCAACTGCAGAGAAGGAGCAGGACGTGCTGAGCCAGGAGACGGAGGGACATGTGGGCACGGGACAAGGTACAGGGCCAGGTGACAGAGGGGCTAGGAACACTGTGGCCGAAGTGCAAGTCCATCAGTGGCTCAGGACATGGGTCCCTTGAGTCAGTCTTTCCTGTAACTTAGTGAGAGTGGCTCCTTTGGCCTCACAGCTCGGAGGCAGGGGACCCTGGCGTCACTCCCTCTAGATCATGGAAACTGATGTAAACTTTAGGTGTCAAACAATCTGAGGGGGTTTTCTTCATGTTGGGTCTTGCCAGCACCATGACGCCATTCCCTGGGCCTCACTCCAGGGGTGGGGAACCTGGTGATGTCCAGACATGTGAGAACCTTGGCTCTTTTTCTAAACCACTTGCTGATGCTAAAAAATGTCTCATCTTCATGGTGCTAATGCCTAACTCTGGGTTCCAGAGTCTGTGTGTGAAGCTACTGGGCATTTGAAGTCAAAAGTAGCCACATTCCCTAAAATGAGAATAACCCTGTAAGGGGATGATGGGAGCCAGCTCTGCACTCTTGATGTAAAGTGAGCTGATTTAGGTTTAGAAGTGCTTTGCAGTTCTCGTGTTCTTCAGCTCAAATAGCATGGCGAACATACATTTCTCAGTCCCCCTTTTTGTACCTTCAGGGGAAATATAGGATGAGGACATTTTCTCCCTTTGGTGGTGTGTATGTGTTTACAGAGAGAAACCAGCCGCTGGGATCCCAGCCTGAGTCAGTCACCCACAAGGGTTCTGGTGAAATTCAAGGTAAGTAGTGCCAAGTGAAAGCTCCAGGCACAGAGAAGATATTAAAAACGATGTTTCCTGTCCTCACTGGTATGGCTCAGTGGTTGAACTTTAACCCAGGAACCAAGAGGTTGCTGGTTTGATTCCCATTCAGGGTACATGCCTTGTTGTGAGCTGGATCCCCAGTAGGGGACATGCAGGAAGCAGTCAATCCTCTCTCATCTATGTTTCTTTCTATTCCTCTCCCTCTCTCTCTCTCAAAACAAAAAAAATATATTTTTAAGAAATGATGTTTCCTGAGTTAAAGGGCAACCTGATCTTATCAGAGCTAAATAAGCAGACTCCCAGTCTCTGCCATGCAAGTCTCCCCAGAGGCCTTTCAAAGGCGCTATGTGAAGAGAAGGAGCCGGCCACCAGGTGTCTGTCATCAGCCACCGCAAGTCCGAGAAGGGTCGGGGCTAAAAACATATGTGCAACCAAAGAGAGAAGTAAGGTTTTACCCAACGTCTGACCCCAACGAGCAGGCCTGCCTCTCCCACGGCTGCTATAAATAGGAAGTGTCAACCCTCCCAACAGATGTTCCCTCCAGGGCTCACGGCCAATTAGGAGAAGGCACCACTTCCTCCAGGTGGAGGTGACCCAGCTGTCATGGCTGGTGGGCAAGCTGATCGGGGATGGATTTCAGTCCCTCATCAGAACCCCAGAGGACCACTGCAGACACACTCTTCATGGGAGTGTCACCAGAGTGTATCTATTTTCAGTATATGCACGCTTTCTCACACACACACACACACACACACACACACACACACACACAGAGAAATACATATAAGCCGATGGAAAGTTTTCATAATCCTAACATTTTATAAAACATTACTGCATCTGCTCCCCTGCTCATCATTTTCTGTCTCCCCCCTCACCCCCCACCAACACAAACACACACACACACACACACACACACACACACACACACACACCATGCTTATTATGGGGATAGGGTGTGGACAGAAGACAAAGTACAGAGTCCCATTTACTTTGCAAATAAGTATTTTTCCAGGGTACAAGGTCAAAAACGTTAAGTCGGACCAAAGTTTTCAGAAGCGTTTAAGTTGAACTGAAGTCATTTAAGTTTAAATGGAAAGTCTGTGTTCCTATCCCCCAAATTACCAAATAGCATGAGCAGTCTCAGCCCTGCCTGCACTGCCGGGAGGAAGGCAAGAGAGGTTCCTCCCTCCCAAGGAACACAGCTTCGCTCACATATGTTTATTGAGAGGTGAGTTGCCAGTGACCAACTGAGGGTTCGCAGTACGGTTAGGTGGAGCAGAAACACCTAACTACGAAAGCCTTTGGAGATATATATATCACACACACACACACACACACTAATATAGTATAGACTTATTTTATATGGAATACAACTGGAGAAAAAAGTCTTCATCATGTCTTACATACCAAGACAGAGCTCATAAATAATACCTCTTGTAAGTGACTTTTGTTGCTAGTGATGATAGAGGTCACTCATCCTTTCCTGAAGCTCAACCAGAAGCCCTGAGCTACCTGTAGCCTCCCTTCCTGGGCACATGCACTTTGAAAGGTTCTCTCAGCACACAGATGGCTGGTTCCACCAAGACCTTGAGGGATGGATGCTTTGGACAAATAACAGAATGCCTGCGGATGGTCTTGCTCTGCAAGTCTTGCTTTGGTGTTCTTGTGCTCATCCCAATGAGTACCGCTCTTCTGAGAAAACTTCCAAGTACCAGACTACCTTGCCTAGTGAGTGACTTCTTATTTTATGAGAAGAAAGCCACACTTGAGTCAGAGGATGGAGGGAATGAAGGAATGAAAGGAGCCTAACTGAGGGGGCTCAATGGGTGCCCTCAAGCAAAGCTAACATCAACCCCAGGAAACTCCAGCCTAAATGAGAAACTGGAACGGAAAACTCAGCCTGCCTTAGAACTGGCTGTTTGGAAAAGATTTGTCATCTAGACAAGCCACGAGTGAAATTACACAAGAAACCTGTCAATAGGCAGGAAAGAATAAAAATCTGTTTTCCCTGTTGCTTTACCTGTCCTAGTAGGCATTGTTTATCTCATTTTCTAGATATGTATTTCCTTCCTAAACTTGGGAAATGCATAATTCAAATAACTAATTACTTTTAAAAGCCCCAGGAAGGCTATGATATAATGATAGTGATATTAATAAATGGGAATGGAATGAATAGCGATTGGGTACAACCTAGAGTCTCTCTGAAGGCTTCTTAATAACAGGGAGCCCCTGAGCCCAATCGCAAACTGACTTAGGCCATTTAATGACAACAGGAAAATAGAATATAAAGAAAGTTGTACTCCAAATACAACAGCATTTGTTCTATAGCACTTGGCAGTTTTTATAGGAGCACTATCCTATCTTTAAATATTCATACTTCATCCTTACACTCTTAAAGTTTTTTCTTATTGATTTTTAGAGAGAGAAGAAGGGAGAGGAAGAGAGAGAGACATTGATACGAGAGTATCACATTTATCAGCTGCCTCCTGCATGCCCCCTCCGGGGATCGGCCTGCAATCCAGGCATTTGCCTTCACCTGGAATGGAACCTGGAACCTTTTGGTGCATGGATGATGCTCAACCAGCTGAGTCACACTAGCTACGGCATCCCTACACTCTTTAATCCATAATTTGGATGGAGGAAGGGATGGAAGAGGAACTCATTCCTTGTGGTGTTTGAGGGTCCAAATCCCTAAGAAATTTTGTTTTAGCTTTCGTGGGTTATTATGCTATTTATTCCTCTTTTCTAAACAAAACAATAAAGTCTATTACTTTGATGATGATGATGGTGATGATGATAGT